TATTGTGGCTTAAGCTGCAATTGCTAAACAGCAAAGAGAAAAGTGGCAGTGATGAGGCACTAGGAACAAGCTGTACTTTCACCAACTATGGGACAGGATATGGGAATTGCCTAGCTGTGTGCTCCCAAGAGTCCCTGACAGAGATTTATTCAAACTAGAAAGTTGATGATTGAATATAGACTGTGCCATGCATGGAAAACATGTGCTCTGGGCCCAACCCTGAAGGGATTGGAGAGGTAGCTAGTGAGAGGAGGCACTGGAAGAGATACCCACCATAGTTTTTCTGTTTTTGTTTTTTACAATGGCCCTCTTTATTTGGAAGCAAAGACAGGTTTCCACTATAGTTTGTTCATCATATAACTGTTAAAGTGGGAAAAAAGTAAGATCCATATTTCTTGAGTTTCTTTTCAAACACTGAATTTCCTTTCAATCTATAATGAACCAAACACATGATCCACACTTCTTATTGAAACTAATTTTCTTATTTGAGGCTTTTTTTCAGAACCTGAATTTCTACTGTATCAACAATAACACACCCACAAGATTGGAAACATTACTTCTGAGAAAGTCCTATTTGCTGATGAGAAAGTCCAATTCTAAATGGGGAAATCTACCTGAGTCCCAGCCTTTTCAGTTTGACATTATACCTACCACCTAGAAAAATAAATCCAAGCACCCATCTGGGTTGAAAGAAAAGTTACTTATGACTTTATAAAAAATGGAACTATGTAATGTAAAATTCCAAAAAACTCAGATGGTGCTATGTAAGACATTTTGGTTTCTTTTTCTTGGGAGAAAGGAGTTATACAGAAACTTCTTATCTTTTTCTTCTATTCCTCTATGTCCAAAGTTGAAGGCAGATCACCCTGTAGGGCCCATGACACTTTCTTAACTGAAAAACTACTCATGCTACTTTTCTTCCAGCTCTGGCCATGTGGAAAACTAAGTCTAATGTGTTATTTGACTCCACAAAACAAGATGAATAAAACTGTAATATAGCAGCTTCTGATCTTAGGGAGGTGAAGAGGGTTCTATCACTGGACTCAAACTGTGTTGTTTGCTTTTAACTAAATGTAAGCATGCATTCATAGGGTTAGCTGCTACTCCATCTGGTTCTTCTAAAAATTTTTAGAATAGAAAATGTCCCAAGACTTTTGAAAAAGTCAACAATAGCTTCTTTCTCCAAGAGAAAACTCCCTCCTTTCATCAAAAAAAAAAAAAAAAAAAGTGGATTTACCCAAGTAAAAATATGTATTTGTACAGAATCTCTTTAGGTTTATTCAGATATGAAACCATCTTGAGATCTTGTTTTTATGCTTCTTTATTACGTCAAAGGGTTAACTGCAAAACTGGACCTTTGTTTCTGTCCAGTAAATCTATGTCACATGATGAACCAGGATATAGAGATACATGTAACTTTTTTTTAAGAGAGAGAGAGAGAGAGAATTTTTTAATATTTATTTTAGTTTTAGGTGGACACAACATCTTTATTTTATTTTTATGTGGTGCTGAGGATCGAACCCAGTGCCCCGCGCATGCCAGGCGAGCGCATTACCACGTAAACCACATCCTAAGCCCACATGTAACTTTTTAACATCTCTTTCTTTTCAAATCACAGTAGATATTTGGAATTTACTGCTGCAGTCTCAAATGTGGCCGAAACTAGAAGAAAATTTTTTAAAATTACTGAAGTCATTCATACTTGCCATTTATTTATTCTTCTTGTTTGGAGCAAAAGGCAAAGAATTCTCAAAAAGCTCAACCTAAGCACCTGTTTCAAATTAAACACCAGTCTTTAGCTTGCAAATATAATTTCTTGACAATTAAGCAAATTGCAGCAGAAGACTCATATCAGTTGATTTTTCTTCCTGTAGAAGTCTGCAGGATAATTGCACCTTAGGGCTTCTTTCTGTGTTGATTCTGAAAGGTAGAGCAAAAGAAAAGCAGTCTTCCATTCCAAACCATGGAGGTAATGTGTAGAAAGGCATCAATGTCTCAATAGGGAAACTGGCTGGATAAAAGAAGCAGGACCACCAGCTCTAGAAGACAACACAGAAATACCTGCCACGTCCTGTGTTTTGAGATGAATATAAAAGCACCTAATGTCAGAAAAGTATTCTTCCTATGTGAAAAGAACTCAGGAAGGCTGTGTGGATCGCCCTGGGGGTGGCCAAGCATGGCAATTCCCACTCATCAGGCCAGATCAGCTGCCTGCAGGCTCCCATACCCTCAGTCTTTGGAAGGTTGTCCACACCACCACCTCACCACCTTCTTGTCCCCATGTGGTCTGCCTTCTCAGCTCACCTTGCATGACTAAGCAGTCGCAACTGGCTTCCAAGGGTCGGGGGGCTGTCCCCGGGGCCCAGAGGCCAAACACGGAGGTCTGGCCAAGGGGCACCTCACTCCTTTATCTTTGCTTCTCCACCATGTTTAAATGTCCCTTGTCTCCCAAGACCCCAGCCCCAGAATTATGGCCTGGATGGGGCCTCAGCCATGGAATAGGAAAAAATTTTGGTATTTGATTATTAAACTAAGCTGAGCATTTTAATTAAGAAAATAAGACATCCCCTAAGACCAAAGGTGACCACAGGACATTTAACACAAACTTGTGAATGGAAGAGCTGCTTGAGACTGTATATAAGGATTATGTCAAGGAGGAGAGATTGGAAGGATATGACAAGTTTCTTGTTGGTACCCTATTGCGCTTTGAACTTTTAATAACCAGATCATATGAAAAATCTTAAAAAGAGATGCTTATCCATACGTAAAACATCTTAATTCGAAGCATATAAATATATATTCATCCCCAATCTTCTGATGAAGAGCCAAAGCCTTTTGTGTGAATACAGATAAACAGATCTTTTTAAAGTTCACTCATAAAACTATAAATTCTCATTTTGGTTTCCATGCATTGTATTGAAAATTTTAAGAAACTTTAAAAGCAATATGAATAAATATTCTTACCAATGTATATGATTTCTTTTGTCTTCTCCAGTTGTCTCATCCACACACATGTTTTAATAAATTTGGATTTATCAGGTCTTTTGAAAACATTCAATATAATGTTTCAGAGAAAGACCACTTTATACAGATATTTCATTGGTTTACATAATATTTAATTAGGTTATATAATTTGGTAAAAAGTACTATCGGCATAAACAGCAGGGAGCACACCTCACAGAATGGAAGCAAACACGCATCTGAACTTGCAAGAGCAGAAGCACATGGGTGCACTGGAAAATAGACCACTTACAGTGAGCTTTCTGAGTCTCCTGAGCATCCATCTGTATATCTTACAGGGAACGGAGCATACAGAATTATCCAGTGAATTGGTAAATGGATGTTAAGCAACTGAGGTTCCAGTTTTCAAGATAAGTGTACAGTTTGAGGTAGCCACCATCATAAAAGCCACCATTGATGGAGTACCTACAATGCCAGGCAGGGGTCTTTACAGACATGAGCTCATTTAGCTTCAAGTATATTATTTCCCTTTTACAGTTGAGGAAACTGGGATTTACAGAAATTAAATAACTTACTCTAGGTGAAATAGGCAATAAATGGATAACCAGTGCTTCTCAAGTGCTCATATGCAAAAAGTCACCTGGGAGATATTACAGCAGTCCCCCCTTATCCTCAGGAAATACGTTCCAAGACCACCATGGGGTGCCTGAACCAGCAGACTGTACTGAATCCTATATATGCCATGATTTTTTTTTTCCTACATGCCCTACAATGTTGACACATAGTACCAGAGATAATCTGTCCTTCCATATTTTATGCCCTGGTGCCTTCTTAGTATTTTTATAATAATAAAATAAAAGAGTACTTGAATATAAGCACAGCGATACTGCAACAGTCAATCTGATAACCACCAATTCCTAAATGACAAATGGGCAGGTTGCACATACAGAGTGGACACACTGGAAAAAGAAATGATTCATGACCGGGGCAGATGGAGTGAGATGGTATGAGATTTCACCATGCTACTCAGAACAGCATGCAATTTAAAACTTAGGAATTGTTTACTTCCGGAACTTTCTGTTTAATATTTTCAGACCACTGTTGAACCCAGGTAACTGAAACCACAGAAAGTGAAATACGGATAAGGAAGGGCTATAGTATTTAAATGCATATTTTGAGATAGTGCTCAGGAAGGGACTAGAGGGTCTACATTTCCAACATGCTCCCAGATGTTTTGTTGCTGCTGATCTGCAGACCATGCCTCGAGATCTCTGAGATTCTGACTGGACTGTGTGGAAATGGAGCTATTTTCAAAAGCTCTCCAGTGATCTTTTGTTAACAGAGTGGAGGTGATGGAGCTTGGGCCTTAGTGAGGTCAAGAAAGTCAGAGAAGTGAATTGATATAGACTTGTGTGAAGAGTTTTTTAAAAAATCAAATCAAACTGTTCCCTATCTGCCCTCGTATGACAATGGTGTGTCACAAGCTACTTCCTGGTGAATCCATGCCACCATAATCTAGCTCATCTTAGTTCATCCTTATGGACACTGCATTGCACTTCATAGCAGAGTGAAACCATAATTCATGTATTTTCTGGATTAATATCAAGTTAACTCTAATTTTTTTCAGTTTAACAGATAATGCTTTATGTGCCTATTCATGAGTGTGTGTACAAGTCATTCCATAGAACAGAGATCTAGGTGGGAATTGTGAGTTTTTTAAAAAGTTCTTCTTAAATTGCCCCCCAATAGGTTCACCAAATTATACTCCACCATTAAAAGATGCCTCTTTTCCCTGCTACCTTCAAACAACTGGGTTTTATCAATTTTTTCAATATTAATCTCCCCAGTGTTTTCCAAATTGTCCTCATGATGTTTTAATTTGTGTGGCATAATAAATGGGTGAAGATGACTATCTTTTTTTATGGAAATCTAAATCATCATATTTATTTATTTGCTTTTTTTAAAAAGTTATTCATTCTAATTTGTTATACATGACAGCAGAATGCATTTCAATTCATAGTACACATATAGACACATTTAAAAATATGTAATGCTTCATGAATTTGCGTGTCATCCTTGCGCCAAGGGCCATGCTAATCTACTCTGTATCATTCCAATTTTAGTATATGTGCTGCTGAAGTGAGCACGAGGTGACTATCTTTTGATGTATCAGACTTCAGTATTTCTTCTTTTACAATTGCCTATCTATGTCCTTTTGCTCCATTAGTTATTTGTTTGCTTATTTTTTTAAGATTAATCCATTGCCTATTATATATGCTGCAGATAATTTCCCTCCCAGCCTACTTTTCATTTTTAAATTTGTTTACAAAAGTGTTTCATTTTTATGTATTCAAGTCTGTCAATTGTTTTCATGACATGTGAGTTTTACTTCTTGTTTAGGAAAGACTTCCTCATCCCAAGATCATAAAATGGATTATTGCTGGTTTTTCTATCTACTGCTTGAATAGATCTGACATTCATTAATCCATCTGATAATTAACTAATATGTAAAATATGCATTTTACTTATGACTTGAAGTAGAGCTTTTACCTTGTTTCTTTTGCTTCTATGCACCATTTTCAGCATCACTCACCCAACAGGCCATCATTACTTCTGGATTTAAAATGCTTCCTGGAAAAAAAATAGCCCAACAACCAATGACAACTATTTTGTCATTCGATTTATATCAGTTTTCATCTTATTTGCATGGTTTATTCTACATAATTGTAATCAGAAAGCATAATTAACTGTTTTTACTTTTTAAAGTAATAAACACACTCAATATACAAAACTGTTTTGCCCTAGGGGTCTCTTTGTGTGTTTTATAAGAAGCTGTGTGTGTCTCACTAATATGCAAAAATTCTAATGTGACTTCTGCTACTGAGTTACTGAGCTCAATCTGATCCCTTCTTTTGAAGCAGGCCTGGCTTGCTGGCATTTTTACCAACCAATTATAGTCCAGTGTAATGGAGCCCCTGCTCCTCAGCCACATGTGGCTGCTGATATCACTGCACACTCAGCCTTTCCATTTTTGGCCTCTGCTGGAATCACTCTTACAGCCAAGGTGAAGCAGAGAGTGCTAGGGGTTTATAGTTCCTTTTAAAAGGCCGAATAGAACATGATCCATGTAAAGGAGATTTCCTAAGATTTTCAAAAAATACTTTTTTCACTTGGCTCTTGTTTACACAAGTGTGCATGTGGTTTGAGTTTATATGGATTGATTTGCTACTGTTTCTTTATTACTTCAAGTTTGATTTCCTTACTTTGTCATTTTGTTACCTATATGAATTGTTCTTCATTCTGTCAGCTCCTTACTCATTCACCTTAGCAAAGGTGATCTCACTGCTCTGCTTATATACATTCTAATTACCGTGGTCACAACTGCCTCAGACATGGGCAAGACACAAGTATGAATCAAGGCCCACATATCACTTCTCTGTTCAAAAGGCTCAGGAAGGCTGCATGCACACATGTTAAAGCCTCAGCTAGATTGTCCTATCTCTTTCAACACTCCTCTTCAAAAAGTTGCCTTTGTCTTCCCACTAGATCTAGGATGAGACCAACCAGGACCCATTTTTGAGCATTCATTTCCGTGATCCTGGGCAACTTGGAGCATAATTATAGGGGGAGTCTTTTGGACTACATGTGGGCATGTCCCTTTGGCACTCGAATTCCAACCCTGTGAATTGGATATGGCTAGAAGAGGTAAATGTTGGAAACTGAGCCCCTCTTGCAAGGATTTAAAGGTGGTCTTACCCCTAGATGCGCTCTCTCTCTCTCTCTCTCTCTCTCTCTCTCTCTCTCTCTCTCTATATATATATATATATATATATATATATATATATTAGGATTCTTTAGATAAAAAGGTACAAAATCATTCACTGAGGTTAGCTTACATTCAAATGGCATAATTTTCACTTAGATTTTGAAGATAATCTAAAAATAATCTTTGCAAGGAGCATCTTGGTATGGTATAAGAAGCATGATCATTCATAGCTGGGAAATCCAGGAGATTAAATCCAGCTTGATCAACTGCCATTTAGATGAACTTGGGCAGAAGGTCTAAACCCTTTGAGTTCTAGTATGTTTAATTATAAAATAGGGGTGATCTTTCCTGAAGGGTTCTTTTAAAGAATGACTGGCACTCAGTGGGTCCATGGTGAGTGTTGCCATTAAAAGTCGATAGCACTGCCTCTTTTCATTTTCTGACCCTATATCATTGCTTTTTTCTTGGCCATATAATAGAAGAAAGAAGATGCTTTTGATAGTTGCTATTGACCTCAGCTAGGGGTGTATTTTAGCTGTGCCACAGAAGGCATTGTGCAAACCAACTTACAGGTACAGGCTCTTTGAAAGTGAAAAGTCAAGTTATACCTGTTGGTGATATATTTTCTTCAGAGAAGTTTTTTTTTTTTTTTAATAAATCTTACAAAACATATGGATGTGCTTTACTTTGAACAGCATGTACAAATTATTATTCCTATCTTGCATACTTTTTTGTACATACTGAACTATTGTCTGATAATTTTTCTGACCAGAATTCATGCCTAGAGTAGCTTTCCCCTATGATGCAACCAAGAAGATGTATTCTGTGACTACATCTAGTAGAAAAGTAGAGATACTAGCAGCTCACTTCTGAGACCATAAAGCTGGACAGATTTGAGGAAAGTTTACACCCTTTTAGAGCAGCCTAAATTTTCCTGTAGGTTAAACAGAATGAGGTACAAAGAAACTTTCTGTTTTGTATTTGCACATAAAGTTTATAGGAGATACAGAAAGACACAATTTGATTGCAATACTCATGTACAACCCTGGTCCAAATTTACATACTTAATGAGATAATGATTATTTATGACCAAGTCTGTATGGGCCTACAAAGACTAAAATATTTACTCTCTGGTCCTTTAGAGAAGGAGTGTGTTGACCCTGGTCTAGCAGTTCATGTGGACTGCTTCTAGTCAGCTTCTTCATCACTGTGAACAAAAGACCCGACAAAAACAATTTAATTGATAAAAGGCTATTTTGGCTCACAGGTCAGAAGCTCAGTCTATAGATGGCCAACTCTGGTGCTCTGGGCCTGCGGTGACGCCCACATCATGGCGGAAGGCCATGGTGGAGGAAGGCAGCTCAGGACATGAAATCCAGGATGCTCACCAATGACAAAATATGCACCCCAAAAGCACATCATGAATCAAGGCCCACATATCACCTCTCTGTTCAAAAGGCTCAGGAAGGCTGCATGCACACATGTTAAGGCCTCAGATACTTACTATCTCTTTCAACACTTCTCTTCAAACAGTTGCTTTTGTCTTCCCACTGGATCTAGAGGTACACACACTTCTTCAAGCCACAATCTATGTGCCTAGAATTATCACCCAGTTAATCCACATGAGTGAATTAATCCACTGATTAGGTTAAGGCCCTCATAAGTTGGTCATTTCAGCTGTGAACTATTCTTGCATTGTCCCACACATGAGCTTTTTGGAGACACCACATATACAAACCCTAAAAGTAGTTTTGATAGAAAAAGTTATTTCTACTCAAAGCCTAAAATGTCCCATCATTGACATAGACCCTTGCCCATTTATTATGACATTTAGTCTCAACAAGCCTTCAGAATAAGAGGTATTTCCCCAATTTTCACAGGAAAAAGAATTGGTTCTCAGGATTTAGTCAAGCCTGCAAGGATAGTGAATGATGGAGCCTCCAGATCGAGTCATTCTAAAACCAAAGTCCGTTGGTTTCTTACAAGAATAGTTCTTCCTCCCAGGGGTGCACTGTCAAAAAGGAATCCAAAGTCCGGATTAATGTACAATGAGGTAGAATCCAAGGTAAAGAATAATGATAGCAAGCATTCAAGCAAAGTCATGAAGAACAGAAGAGTCCTGAGCTGACATTAGGAATAAGAATCTTGGTAAAACAGGAGGCAATAATTAGAATAGAGTTCAGAGGATGGAGGAAGGCTAGAGTTGAGAGGAGGAGGAAGACACAGTGGGAGAGGTTCTGGAGTGCTCCAGTGCTAATCATAGTAGCCATTAACATGACCTTGGCATGAGCAGCCAAAGGGTCTACTAGGAATCGTTAGCTACTAAGGGCTACTTGACATGTCAAGAATTTAGTTCAAATTACTGCATAAAACGTTTTCTTGACCATTACTACACACGTTCCAATCTTCTTTCCTGATTTCTCTGTCACTGTAGTTGAGATGGTGCCTGGGTCCCTCATGGCCTTGGTGGTGTCCTGGATCTTGGTGAAGTCATTATGAGATCAAGATCTGAAAGTGAACTTTCGAATCAGACAAACTGTTATTTCTATTAGATTACCTAATAGCTATCAGTGCTTACTGTCCTGATTCATATTAATGTGAGTCAACTGACTGATTAATCTTCCATAAATTTATAGTAGTGGAACAGAAGGCTCATGCCTATTATTCCTATCTTGCATGCTTCTAGATTGCATGTGGATCCTCACATTCACACTAAATATTATTCTTAAACGCTCAATGAATGAGGAGTTTGTAGTCAGATCCAGAGCTTGCATTTTGGTTTTCTTACCAACCCCTATGGCCTGGACAAGTCATAACCTAACTCTGTGAGCTCTTTAATCTGCAAAATGGGGATGATAATAATAGTAACTGTTGCACATGATGATTGTGTGGACTAAATAAGAAGATATCTGAAAGTAATACTCAACACAAAGCCTGGTACATAGTAAATGCCTTAAAAAGATAGCTTTTTAAAATTTCCATATGTATTCCTCTCTTAAGGAAAGAACAGGAGCCCTCTCTCCAATTGTAGTATTACAAACAGCCTTAGAATTAACTCTTAGGATAATCTCTAATAAGGACTGTTTTCAATAGTACTAATTCTTATAAACTTCTGAAAATGGAGCCATAGGCTTTTGAATTTGCCTCAGAATTGTAGAATATTTCCATTGGATCTATAAATAAATATATCCTTGTCTTAGATATAGATAAATTACAACAATTATCTAATTTTTTGAGCATCTAGGGAAAGTCATTTTCTATATATTATCTCTAATCTCCACATAAATTCTGCAAATTTAGTGCTATAACCTTGGTTTTTCACATACGGAGACTAAGCTCAGAAGTTAGAGGCTCTGCATTAATCTCTGGGATATATAAAAA